ATATTGTCTTAAGGAAAGTGACGTGGTAACATGTCTTGAAATGGTTAACATGAAATGTTCGATTTCTTAAGTTATTGCATAAGTTATCCCTCAAACATAATGAAACGATAATTTTGTCCTTAATTAGTACGTATTGTCATCGATGATGATTGATGATTTATATCAAAATATTTTATTTTCATATTTTAAGATGATATTTTTTTTCACTTTTTATTTTTTAAAATATGATGAAAAATTTTGTTGTTTCACGTCATTTTAATGTATTTTTGGACATAAAATTATCATTAAATACAAAATACGTTAACTAATGAAAAATTTGAAAATAAGAATTATATGAAAAATATTAAAAAATTTAAGCACAATTGGAAATGCGGTGGAAGAAATAAAAATTGTGCTGAATTATATACTTTCGTCCCAAATCCCCCATATATTCTGATGGTCTCGCTCTCCAGTATAACGAAGGGTCCTTCCTAATCGAACCAACAGCTCTCTCTCTCTCTCTCTCTCTGCGGAGTTGTACGCAAAAAATAAAATAAAAAATCTTCAGACCCGATCTCTGTAGACCCACTCCAGGAAAAAAAAATGTCATCAACATTCAGCGGCGATGAAACGGCGCCGTTCTTCGGCTTCCTTGGCGCCGCGGCTGCTCTAGTTTTCTCCTGTACTTTCCCGATCTACAGATCTATGGTCAAAATAGCAATTTCAATACGAACTTTTCTAATTGTTATTATTGTTTTGTAGGCATGGGTGCGGCGTACGGCACGGCGAAGAGTGGAGTGGGTGTGGCTTCGATGGGCGTGATGCGACCGGAGCTGGTGATGAAATCGATAGTTCCGGTGGTCATGGCTGGTGTTTTGGGTATTTATGGATTGATTATTGCTGTGATCATTAGTACTGGAATCAACCCGAAAGCCAAGTCATACTACTTGTTTGATGGTTATGCTCACCTTTCTTCCGGTCTCGCTTGTGGCCTGGCTGGCCTTTCTGCTGGTATGGCCATTGGAATTGTTGGGGATGCTGGTGTTAGGTAAAATTCTCTACCCTTCTTAATGACAATACGTGTATGCATTTTTTCAACGTATGGTCAGTGATCTGTATTTTGTCCTGATATAACCATAGACCAGATGAAGAATCTAGATTTGATTTGTGCATTATAAATGAGAGATTTATCAGTTTGTTATTCAGCTGTAGGATTTGAATTTGAAGTACTTTAAGAGTTTGATTTTTGTGAAGTACTTTTTTACCAAGTTTTCTTGTTAATATGGCATGCGATTAATGGGATTATATGCACATTTGATTAATTGAATTTAATATTGGTGAAAACCAAAATGTCAATTAAGATGTTAATGACCGGTTTCATGTTAAAAGGATACTTCGCTATTTGTTAATTAAGAATATCTTCGTAATATAGCATATATTGGTTTTCATTACCTTGTTATTCATTTATAATGTATTTATGTTGAGGGATCTAATCTTACATTGTGGAAATTTTGCATTTTTATTAGAATAACAGTGTCATATTGAATCTTTAGTACACTTTTTGGAGCATTTGAAGAATGATTTATACTTGTAAGTTCAGTTAATTTCTTTTAACCCTTATGTTTGATGATTGGCATTTAGCTTAGTCTTTGAGATACATAGAGTTGCTAGCTTTCTCTAAAAGTAACCATGATCTGTACAGTAAGTA